TTTTTACATGATAGAGATTTAGACATTCTTTATATCACAGAATCTTGGATAAGGGATAAGGGTGATGACGTCATCAAAGCAGAATTAACACCAACTGGCTACACTTTAATCAACAAACCTAGGCAATCTGATCACATGGGCGGAGGAATCACAGTAGTCTACAAATCACACATAAAGTTAAAAGTTAACCCACAGATGATGAACATTCCGTCTTTCGAATTTCTGGAAACGGTTTTGGAACAGAGCAATAACCTGCATATCATCTGTGTGTACAGACCCCCACCGTCAGCTAAAAATAAACTTTCAGCCTCCAAATTTCAAGATGACTTTGAAAATTTTGTTCAACTTCAGAGCAGCAAAACAGGTGAAATTACCATTCTCGGTGACATGAATATCCATTTCGATGACCCATTAAAACCTGACAGAGAAAAAATTGTCACATTCCTGGACTCAATTGGACTTGTCCAAATTGTGCCAGCGCCAACCCACAAATGTGGACATATTCTAGACTGGGTAATCGTCAGAGACACAAACAAAGAACTTATTCAAAAAGTGACTGTTGAAGACCTACAAATGTCAGACCACTTCCTGTGTTTCTCTCTTTCAACAAGGAAAGACCAACAAGACAGAAAATAACGAAAACATGTCGAAACTTTCGCAATATGGACATTGACAAGCTTAAAACAGATATTGGGAACTCTCCTCTCTACAAGGTGAAACCGAAGACTGCCACAGAACTTGCAGATCTATACAACAGAGTTCTATCAGAGCTTCTAGACAAACACGCCCCTCTTAGAACCAAGATTATATCTGTGAAACCAAGCTCACCATGGTACACAGACGATATAAAACTGGAAAAACCAACAGGAGGAAGCTAGAAAAGCAATGGCAAAGAACAGGCTTGGAAATACACCGCCAGATGTACGTTTCACAGAGGAACAAGGTGAATTGTTCCATCAGACAGGCTAAGACCGAGTACCTTAACACTAAGGTGCTGGATGCAGAGGCCAACTCTAAACAGCTCCATCGACTCGTCTCCAAACTGTGTAACAAATCCAGTGATACCAATCTGCCCGAGGACCAATCTCCTCAAGAAGCTGCTGCGAACTTTGCACAATACTTCAGAGAGAAGATCGAGAGAATTCACAGCAAGCTAGTAACTTCGGCTTCAACGCTAGATGACAACACATCCACTCCAGGTGACCAGTGTGACGAGTCAACTTCAGCTACCTCGGGCTATTTTGATGAAATACAACCTTTCTCAACCGATGAAATCGAAAAGATCATTAAGCTTCTGCCAGACAAGAGTTGTGAGCTCGATCCTATACCAACTCAATTTGTGAAATCATGCCTGGAGGTTTTAGTACTTCCAATAACCAACATCATCAATCTCTCAATATCATCAGGCGAGTTCCCCTAAAACTTTTAAACAAGCTCTGGTGAGACCCCTTCTGAAGAAAAGTAACCTGGACAATAATACTCTGAACAACTACAGACCTGTATCTAATCTTCCGTTCGTCTCGAAGGTGTTAGAGAAGGCTGTTTGTACCCGCCTCTCTGAACATCTGAAGAAACACAAGCTGCTTGACAAACATCAATCTGCATATCGACCAAACCATTCCACTGAAACAGCACTCATAAAAGTCACCAATGACATTCTAACAGAAGCAGACAAAGGAAATGTATCAGCACTGGTTCTTCTAGATCTTTCGGCAGCCTTCGACACTATTGACCATCACATGTTGTTGTCAAGAATGGAAAGTGACCTGAAAGTCAGGGGTACTGCTCTTTCATGGTTCCAATCTTACCTATCAGATCGATCTCAAGTGGTTAAGATTGAGAGCAAAACATCATGTCCCACAGATCTCAGGAGTGGCGTCCCACAAGGTTCCGTGCTAGGACCAGTGCTGTTCTCTGTGTACACTACACCACTGGGAAGAATAGCAGACAAGCACAAAGTCAACCAACATCAATATGCAGATGACAATCAAATCTATTCTTCATTCCCTACCACAGAAGCCCTGCCATCGTTGGACACCCTTTCTGATTCCTGCAATGACATTCAGACATGGATGACTAAAAACCTACTGAAACTTAATGAAAGTAAAACAGAATTCCTGCTTATTGGGTCGAAAACAACACTTTCCAAACTTGACAAGCCATCTCTCCAAATAGGGAATACTGCCATAACTCCAACCCCGAAGGTCAAGAATCTAGGGGTTATTCTCGATGAAAGTCTGAAAATGGACAAGCAGATCTCCAACATCATTAGCACGGCCCATATGCATCTCAGGAACATTGGAAGACTCCGCAACTATCTGAGTGCTGATGCTACTTCAAAACTTGTCCTATCTCTGGTCATGTCCCGAGTAGATTACTGCAACAGCCTCCTCACCAACGTCAACAAAGATCAGCTACGTCGCCTTCAAGCCCTCCAAAACACTGCTGCAAGAATCATTACAAAGTCTAAAGTCTTCGATCACATTACTCCAATTCTAAATGATTTACACTGGCTACCAATCACCGGAAGAATTGACTACAAAACTATTGTAATGACGTACAAGTGTCTCAACGGAATGGCTCCCCTGACTACCTCGCAGAGTTACTGCCCCTGTATCAGCCCTCACGCTCACTGAGATCACAAACCAAATGCTAGTGACAGTGCCTAACATCAAAACCAACTTTGGCAAAAGGTCGTTCGCTTTCAATGCAGCAATGAAGTGGAACGCGCTACCGCTTGAACTCAAAACCAGCGAGTCACTAACATCTTTTAAGACTGGCCTCAAAACATTTCTTTTCAAGTGTCAATTTCCATCTTAAGCGCACAGAGCATTTATTAGTGAATGATGCGCTATATAAATGCAATTATTATTATTAGACCACAACATCCTATGGAACAGCATCAATGTACTCACCAGCAATCACGCCCACTACAAGATCAGAAAGCTACTAGAAGCCATTCACATCAAGAGACTCCAACCGGCCATGAACAGAGACCAAGGATATTACATCCCCACTGCCTACAACCAACTCATCACCAAGCAATCTTAATCCTATTATTCTCCTGTCTGTCATATCACTGGCTTCCTCCCTTAATCCCCCATAGCTTACTATGTTTGTATAACTAATGGCCTCTTGTGTAAACATCCACCACCTTGTACATCTACCTCATTGATTGTGTAAACATCATCACTTACTGTTCAACTTTACCATGTATATAAATATACCTTGCATCTAGTATTGTACATCATTGCTTGATAACGGTATTAGTAGCTACACCGAAACGTCGCTCATATCATATTAAAGAAGGCGTATATCCATAGAACTCTCCTTGTTGTTCAACATCGATAAAGCAATACTTACAGAAAACAATAATCAAACCAATAAGTCCCAATATTCATCAATATACCCGCTGAAGGTTTCAAATCATTTTTAGGAAAAAAAATTTAGAATATAAACTTTCTTCAGCGTTCACGGTCTTCCCCGCGGTGAAACGAATGTGACATTTTCACAGAGTTAGAATGCTGTAGTCGTATTCTTTAGAGAACTATACTAAAAGCCATTAAAAATGCAATTTGACATTCATACTTTCTTTTCTCACACTAATTTCAACATATATAAACCTAGCTGGCAGATATGTTTTAAGTGAACATCTGTGAATAATTTCATGTGAAACTGTCAAGTCAACAACAACCTCAGTGACGCAACAACGACATCACACAAAGGAGGGGTCACTTGCAGTCAATATCGTGTGTGTCCACCGTGCGCTGCAAGACATGCTCGCAGTCTATTGGGCATTGAAAGACACACATTTCTCAGGAACAGCTGTTGGATGGTCTGCATCCTCTGATGGTCTGTGGTCTGATCATGACACCACCCCCCTCCAAAACGATCATGTTCAAGGACACAGTTTGGCGCAAGTCTTTCTCCTTTACGTCGATAAATCTGTTGACGTCCATCTGCAAAGGACAAGTTAAACCTGGATTCATCTGAAAAAATGACATCTGGCCATGTCCTGGTGCCAAGATTGGCCCCATTTCTTGCCCATCGCTGTCTGGCAAGTCTATGGCGATGCAATAAGGTTGGACCACGGTACGGGTGACGACACCGGATGTTGAAGGCAGCAAGGCGTCCTTGCACCTTTTGGGCACTGAAAGGACGTTGACTTGTCTCAATTGTTCCCCTTGCCTAATCATCAGCTGTTTGGAACCGATTTCGCAAGTGTGAAACTCGGATATTGCGGTTTTGTCGAGATGTTATCACAGGTGGTCAACCAGGTCGCGGACGATCAGCAAAACTTCCGGTAGCCCGAAAACGTTGTCTGAGTCGACTTACAGTGGATGGATGCACATTAAAGTGCATGGTAATCATCACATCTGAAGCACCTTGGCTGACCATACCGATAACCTGATTCCTTTCGTCTTGTGTCAAGTGTGGCATTTTCTCAAAGTGATTGAGTTCCACAGTTCCTTGTGCTTTTACAGGGCCTGGATGCAGGTAATGCATGTGCACAACGTGTTTCATAAATGTGGCTGTGTTTACGAGAAATGTCAAAGGTTCAGTTTAAGTATCAAAGTTCATGTGAGAGGAATGCTCCGGGACTCGAACTCGAAATGGGCCAGAATAACAGCCTTTTATCCCTACATCCTCTGTATCGCAGGAAAAAATCTTCAATAGAACTTTTGTAAGTTTCAGGACAACAAATACCAATTGCGTTTTTAATGACTTTCAGTATATTTAAACGACTGAAGCATTTCAGAATTTTTTACCACCGTTACTGCTGTGGAATCGTAAAAGTTGCTTTCTATGGGCAGCACTTTGTCATATATATTGGCCCGGCTGGAGTTGTAGTCCTGTATGCTAAGTTAACATGATGTTCAAAAATATCACACAGTATCTCACAATATCAGATAAAACTGTTGCAGTGATATATCCTAAAACTATGATCGCCAAATATGTATATTAAGCTGAACCATCCTCACAATCCCAAATCATATTCTTCATGTCCGGAAGGATACTGCACATTGAATTAAATTCGTTTTTGTCTTGACCGTTGGTTTTACCGTTGGCTTGACCATTGTCTTGACCATTGTCTTGACCGATGTTTTGACCATTGGTTTGACCGTTGTCTTGACCGTTGTCTTGACCGTTGTCTTGACCATTGTCTTGACCGTTGGCTTGACCATTGTCTTGACCGATGTTTTGACCGTTGGTTTGACCGTTGTCTTGACCGTTGGTTTGACAATTGTCTTGATCATTGTCTTGACCCGTGTTTTGACCATTGGTTTGACCATTATCTTGACCATTGTCTTGACCGTTGGCTTGACCGTTGGTTTTACCATTGGCTTGACCATTGTCTTGACCATTGTCTTGACTGTTGTCTTGACCGTTGTCTTGACCGTTGTCTTAATGGTTGGTTTGACCATTGTCTTGACAGTTGGGTTGACCATTGTCTTGACCGTTGGTTTGACCATTCTCTTGACCGATGTTTTGACCGTTGGGTTGACCATTGTCTTGACCGTAGGTTTGACCATTGTCTTGACCAATGTTTTGACCGTTGTCTTGACCGTTGGTTTAACCGTTGGCTTGACCTTTGTCTAGACCATTGGTTTGACCATTGTCTTGACCGTTGGTTTGACCATTTTCTTGACTGATGTTTTGACCGTTTGGTTGACCATTGTCTTGACCGTAGGTTTGACCATTGTCTTGACCGATGTTTTGACCGTTGTCTTGATCATTGGTTTAACCGTTGGCTTGACCGTTGTCTAGACGATTGGTTTGACCATTGTCTTGACCGTTGGTGTGACCATTGTCTTGACCGATGTTTAGACCATTGTCTTGACCATTGGTTTGATGTTTTGATCATTGGTTTGACCGTTGACCTTTGGCTTTGGACGCGCACATCCCCTGGCTTCCATATCTTCTAAACCAACCGTGCATGTAACCCTTACCTATCAACACCATTTTCAAACACGCAAAACAACAAGGGGCAGAATTCAGGTTCGTCGATTTTTCCACTGGTCAAAGTCTCCTTAACGCCCACATCCCCGACGACACACGGACAGTGACGTTGTTGCACCCGTTGTCCGCCATGCAGAGAACGGTGCCTTCCAACATGACATGTACGTGTTTTTTCACGTGTCGACGCGACGTGTCCCACACCTGTCGAGGGTAACTTGTCGTGACAATGCCATGACAGTATTTGTCCATATCCAGATGAAAATGCCAATACGACCAGAACACTGAAACAATACATGATGTGGGGACCCTAGGTTGTCATATGATCGTTGCTTGAGGTGCTGAGTGAGTGAGTATGGTTTTACGCCGCTTTTAGCAATATTCCAGCAATATCACGGCGGGGGACAACAGAAATGGGTTTCACATATTGTACCCATGTGGGGAATCGAACCCGGGTCTTTAGCGTGACGAGCCAACGCTTTAACCACTAGGCTACCCCACCGCCCCATTGAGGTGCTGAGACACCAGCTAGACGTAAATGTATATTGCAGCAATATCATTGGGTATCACGTACAAAAATGAAAGCTAAAAATTTTCGTACATCTTATTGATTGACTGACAGAAAACTAAACAGTTAAGCTGATGTTTACATATACAATTTTATCGGGCAAAGAGAAATGTCATCCAGTAAGCGTCAAGTGACTTCCTTACATGTGGAGTTTGCTGTTACACGTCTAAAATGGGGCGGTTGGGTAGCCAAGTGGTTAAAGCTTTCGCTCGTCACGCTGTGTGAAGCCCATTTCTATTCCTGGAGTATTGTTAAAAGCGGATTAAAACTAAACTCCCACTATCAAAAACCCTTGACGCGTCGACGTCACGGTTGTCACGGAAGTCAATAGCTTATTTCCATGTAGTCATCATTTTACGGTTATGTCGATAACTCGAAGTATTTCCGTAGGTCCCTTCAACTTCGACACAAAGGCGTTCGGCAGTTCGTCATATGCAGGTTATGTGGTGATTCAGTAGTTACAGAGTGGCTATGTTCGAGTTACCGAGAGCGCGTTTCAGGTAGTAGTCAGCAACATTCACCCATATAAAGACTAGGGCATCAAACTCACCCTCCATTCCACGGTTGAATCGTTTCACAATTCTTGTTAAGCCTTGTCCAGGGTACAGGCAGGAGTGTTGGAGGAGCAGAACCTTTTCGTTCTATCCCTCCCTCCCTCCCTCCCTCCATCCCTCTGTCTATGGAAATACTTATATAGCGTTATATCCAGAATAAACTGCTCTGCAGCGCTTGAGACTCTGGCGGAAAGTTAGTATGCTTCCCAGAAGAAGTGAGTCTTTAGCTGTGATTTGAATGTGTCCAGGTCGTGGTTAGATCTCAGATGTTGTGGGGGTTCATTCCACAAGGTTGGTCCGGCAATTTGGAAACAATTGCACGTGTGTGGCTGGTCTGTTGGGCTAGTCATGGGGTATGCGTCTGGCTGTATTGTGATAGACCTCTAAGCGGTGTAGCAACATGTATGCCACATGACTTAATGTGATAGGTTTTATCGTAATGCGATCAGCAAATGTTTATGTTAGTTGTATTGATTTCCTTCAGTAACCATCGTAAATGTCATGGTGTCCCGGAAAAAAGATGCTTCATATCAAAATTCATTCTGGAATGAAGAGATGAGAAATGTAGCAGCCTACAGTAGCCCTCTGGTGTGTGCAGCCTGCTGTGCACATTTCATGATGTTGCTGCTGTGTTCAAGTAATGGCCTGCTGTTTACTTTAACATCAACTGTTTACCTCATGGCTGTGCTTTCCACATGCAGCACAAAGGAATGTGGACTTCAGTTGACAGAAAAAATGAAGAGCAGATCTGTCGTATTTAGAAACGTTCACATGATGTTGTGCCAAACTAAATGTATTGAAGAAGATTCCTTCATATTTGCATCCTGTCGTCAGTCAAGTGATGAACCCAAGAAGGTTCAGAAAGTAAGGTATGGTTTTGTGACGTTTATGGGTATAGACGCGTGTCAGTGTGTGTATATATGTGTGTTGGTGTGTGACTGTGTGTCGATGGACGTTGAAGGGCGTATATATGTGTATATGTGTGTGTTGGTGTGTAGCTGTGTATTGCTGTGTGTCGTCGCACACGTGTACAAACATTCACTTCAATCAATCATTTATAAGTCATTAGGACAGACCCAGTAAGGACGTGAGGGGTCCAAAATGAAAATTTCATTCCAAACACACATGACACGGCAAGTGTGAAAAATGTCACAAAAGTCGTCTCAAGGTCACTGGGTATGTCCACCGTGAGCGTCAATACACGTCAGATACGTTTCATGGCTGATGACGTCAAACGTGACGTTGGGGTGATGCGTTGCCATTCATCAAGGAGGCATTGTCCCAATTCCCTGGAGGTTGACTGGAGGCACAGGGCGATTTCTGAGTTTGCGATCGAGATGGTCCCATAAGTGTTCGATTGGCTTCATATCTGGTGAGAATGGTAAAACCTGAATGTTGGCGCTGGCGAGGAAGTTCTGAGTCAGCCTTGCCGTATGTGCCCTCGCAGTATCGTGCTGGAAAATGACTCCACGGAGCTGTTGTTTGATGAATGGCTCCACAAATGGTTGTACAATTTCATCTCGATAACGCTGTGCATTCATGTTTCCTCGAATAACGACGAGCCTCCCATTGTAGCCACCGCAGATCCCACCCCAAAGCATTAAACCTCCGCCTCTGATTGGCCGGACATGATGAATGCAATTCTGTGCCAAACGTTCACCAACTCTTCGCTACACACGCTGTCGACCATCGCTCCTGAAGATGCAAAATCTGCTCTCATGGGAAAACATGACCCGTGCCCAGTCTAGCCGTTGCCAACGTCGAAGTCGCCTGGCCCGCACCTGTCTGTTGGTTTCGCTGTTGAGGTGTCAGGAACGCTCCGCGGTAGGGCGAAGTGCTCGGATACCATGTGCCTGCAATCTCCTGAACACGGTTTGTCGACTTATCACGTGTCCCAGTGCCGTCCTTGCCGTTAACATCCCGGAGATGAAGTACCCGGATGTGACGGTCTTCAACAGGCGTGATCACCCGTGGTCTATTGTTCAACCCGTTTGACGCAACCTCTGCATCAACCTGGTGACGATCCTAACCTTCTGGCGACGTCGGTGTGCGTTGCTCCCTGCTGGACCATTCCAACGACTCTCTATTTCAGTCGCTGTCAAACGTGGCATTTCTTTTGTGTGTTTATTGGTACTGTGATCCCAACGTGTTGAGTCAGCAGTTTTATACATTTGAACTGCACGTGCATTTCTTGCTACGGGACGTAACATAATTTTGGAAAAGAGCACGTTTTTCTTCTCAATTGATCAAATTTCCCTAATTTGTCGATAAAATACGTTTGGTTTGGAACATGAGAAACGCTCAAGTATGTTTTCATACAAAACATATATTGCAAAATGTTTGGTATCGTATTGGGCATTAGTTTATACACATTGAAGTAAGGCTCACGGTACGCTTAACACAAAACGTTCTAGCAAAATACATAGACTTTATATTGACATATTCCTTTCACTCTACAGGTCCCCACTAAATCCTGTGGATCTAAGGTCTGCAACGAGACCTCCCAATGTTTGGATGAAGGATGTAAAAAGGTCTGTGTGGAAGGTAGGTGTACGGTGCTCAGATTAATATGGGGTGCGGTGGGGTAGCATAATGGTTAAAGCATCCGCTCGTCACACTGAAGACCCGGGTTCGATTCCCACATGGGTACAATGTGTGAAGCCCATTTGTGGTGTCCCCCGCCGTGAGGTGGCACAGCAAACACAAACATGTCGACTTTCTGGAGGTGGCACTGCAAACACAAATATGTCGACATTCTGGAGGAGGCACAGCAAACACAAAGACGTCGACTTTCTGGAGGAGGCACAGCAAACACAAAGACGTCCATTTTCTGCACATCGATGTCAAATGTGTAGAGTGAGTGAGTGACTGAGTTGCCATTTAACGTCACATCGGCAATATTTCAGTCACACCGTGACGAGAACAATCTATACAATAAACCAATAAAAACCATAAAATCCTGTCGTTGAAGGACAGCAACAATACCAGAATATCACAGATTTGGTTTAAAGCTTGTATATTTTAATACAATGTATTACTTCAGAAAACAATACAATATAAATAGATCACTATATCAGGGACCATGGGGACTTACAGTACTTTTGCTACCTGCATTGACCCTAGCTGGATTTACAAAATCTCTTCAGGTATTGGCGATTATGAACAGATTAGCCGAACCTTAAAATAGCCTACAATTAATACGATGGTAGATATAAAAATGAAATGGGACTTAGTACACTCTCAAGTGGACAATAATTTCATGGTACTTCAACCCCCGTCAGTCAATCTCTGTTAATAATTATATCCTACGAAGTTATAAAAGACATCACTTTGTACATCATAATTTATAAATTAAGTCTATTTCTTTTAAAGAATCCAAGATTAAATGAGAATGAACGTTATTAAAACGGTCCTTTAGATTTGCGACACTATAATATTTATTCCTTTTGATGGAAAAATCTATTCAGTTAAGCAGGGCATGTTTTGAATATAATAGCCCGAAGACGGGATAATAAAATTCTTATGTTTTGACTGTTTGTTTACATATTCTAGTGCTGTTAAGATGAAACCCGTGAAAACATGTTTTCTAGCCGGCTTGATGTTGGTCCTAGGGTCTGACGAGTCTGTTCTATTATTCACGATACACCCGTTTCCTGGGGTACCCCTGAAGATCCGGGTTAGAATGAACCTTCAGTAACCCATGCTTGTCGTACGAGGCGACTAACGGGATCGGGTGGTCAGGCTCGCTGGCTTGGTTGACACGTGTCATCGGTTCCCAATTGCGTAGATTGATGTTCATGCTGTTGATCACTTGATTGTCTGATCTACATTCAATTATTTACAGACCGCCGCCATATAGCTGGAATATTACTGACTGCGGCGTAAAACTAAACTCACCCACTCACTGTAAAAATGACTTTTGCTATCGTGGCGTTCTGTGGTAATCTGATGGATCCTTGCACCTGTTTGCAACTATAGATTTGTAAATATCATATTTGCTTCTTATCTGATTATATTCTTTTTGATATTATAATGGATATTTGCACATTTAACTCATTTTTGGGTCTTGGCCATTTCTATGTCCAATTTATAAACGATCGATATCTTAAATTTCCAAGAGTCCTATGCCAGAAGGCGGTGGCTCATGGGCCAATCTGGTGATGTTGACCTTCAAATACAGTATATCTCCAATTTCTTGTCATGGGCCGAACCAGTCTGGCATTAAATTGGTAGATAAATACAGCTGTTTGTGTCATATTCTATTGAGTATAACACCCCTGTTACCCTGGCGTCAGCATCTTGGATATCCGATGCTATTTGACACCGTCCTTGTTGACACTCCTTGGCGGGTGAGAGCTTGATCCCTCCAACGTCGATTCATGGCCTCGGTTTCTCGGGATTGAAGCTACAGGCTCTACCGATCAAATTAAACCCGTTCGCAGTTTCGAAAGACTATTTTTTTAATTTTATGGAGAGGTGAAAATCTGTATCTCTCTCCGTAGTGGCTCGCTTCTTGTGGAGTGTGCACGGAGACAGCAAACTCTCAATCTGTTTTCAGTAAAGATTTTTGCCAATATTGAGATTGCTGTGTCCGTGCACAGAACGTTAAACTCTTGCCGTTGTCAGAGGAGGACTTAGCTGAAGAGTTTGGTTTTACGCCGCTTTAGCAATATTCCAGCAATACTCTGTGCCCGTTGTCAGAGTGAGGACGCATTAACCACTAGGCTACCCCACCGCTCTTGCCGTTGTCAGAGGAGGACTTAGCTGAAGAGGTCATGGATCGTAGTCCTGTCGAAACTGGCGTGGTGACCACCATGAGAATACCAACTGTCAGAAGGATTACAAATGTGCCAACTGTGACGTCCACATTCTGCATCATCCAAGGCCTGCCCTGTGTAGCAAAAGGAATCACAAATCATGAAAATAAAATCTGAAAAAACCCAACATTTATTACGTCGCTGCCAAACATTTACTGACAAATCAGTCTTCAACTCTGTTGACTGTCACATATTCCGCTGGAGTCTCCCTCTCTGCAGAAATCTCCTGTACTTGACTTGGGTCAAGTCATCAGCTAAACCTATTTCTTCAACTTCAGCCCCAAAACCAACTGCCCCAGTTACTCGATCTTCGTCTGGTTCCCAGACAGATGAAACTAATCCCGAGACGCCATCATAAAAGTCTGTATGAAAACCAGCCAGCAACCAGTCTAAAACAAAGAATGGAAAACAATTAAAAAAAGACAAACCAACTACTGTCCCTTCAACTTCAGAGGTTCCAAAACAGAACGCACTCGGACCTCTAGATATGGAGATTACCGGGATGTCCTGTATTCAAGCCTACCTGGGCTAATTATGGGGTTTATATTTGTTAACGAGAGTGGTCATTTTCCGCTATCAAGCCCAGGGCTTAAATACGGGAAATCCCGGTACTCTGTCCTCATAGGACAGGCGGAGGAATAGTTCTTCCTCACATTCCCGTGAACGATCACCAATTCAGGCACCATGACTCAATTGTCGACTTTAATGCAGTGGAGTTGCAGAGGACTGAAGGATAACTTCAAAGGGATTCAGTTATTAATACAGGGTTGGAAACCGCCAGCACTATGTCTACAAGAGACATGTCCAAAATGCAGATAACTTTAATCAAAGACAGTACAGTGATTATCACTCTTTTCTCCTCCAGGAGATAAAGCAACAGGAGGTGCTTCCATGTTGGTACGACAGGGTATAATACATATCCCTGTCCCTGGTAATACCGATCTTAAAACTGTTGCAGTTTGTATCTCCTGCACACACATTGCGCTGACTCTGTGCAGCTTGTATATCTCTCCGTCTTCTGATATTCCACTGTCGGATTTTAAGAATCTATATGAACAACTTCCGAAGCCATGTATAATCATGGGCGATCTGAACGGACACAAGCCGCTTTGGGGAAGTGTACATACTAACACTAAAGGAAAAATCCTTGAGGAATTCATTTCCGATATTAATTTATGTATTCTCAGCGATGATTCAGCCACTTATCTACATCCAGCTACGGGAACATATTCTTCTCTGGATCTATCACTCACTGATTCAACATTGTGTAATGAATTTGAATGGATGGTCCATGATGACCTATGTGGGAGTGATCACTGCCCCACCATTCTCTAAACAATCAACCTTGGCGATGATCAACCATTAACAAGATGGAACATTGGGCATTATAAGAGGCTTTGTGTGTTAAACGCTTGAAGCATGACCTTGAAGAATGACGCTTGAAGCAGGAACAGTGAAGATCCTATACAGTCGTTTTCGGATATTTTAAATGACATTGCTGACAGAACGATTCCAGCGTCCTCTGCAACTCAACATGTTCGTAAACCATGGTTTAATAATGAATGCAAATTGGCCAGAAAGTGCATGAACAAAGCTGAACAATATTTTCCAAACATCCTACAGTCCATAATTTAGACAAAGTTAAAATTGTCAATGCCAAGGCTCGACGCGCATTTGGTGAAGACTGGAACGGATTATTTTCGTTACATGAGCTCCATACCGCCCTTGAGCAAGCTCATGATACAGCCGCATGGGCTGATAATATACACTATCAGCTCTCAAAGCATTTGCCAAAATCATGTTTAGAAATCCTTTTAGAATCTTTAGATCAAATATAGATTTCAGGGAATTCCCAACTTCGTGGCATAATGCCATTGTAGTCCCTATTCCAAATCCTGGCCGGGATCATACTGATCCTTCAAATTACAGAACCATATCTCTAAACAGCTGGGTCTATAAAGCCATGGAACGAATAGTAAACAATAGATTAACTGGGTATCTTGAAACCAGTAGCCTTATAACAAATATTCAATGTAGTTTCAGGAAAAGTCGAAGTACCGTTCATCATTTGGTACGATTAGAATCCTTTGTTAAAATTATTATAGTATGTAAACAACATGCTGTATCGATATTCTTTGATCTCGAGAAAAACTTATGATACTACTTGGAAGCATGGCATTTTAAAGGATTTACATTACTTTGGTTTGAGGGGTCGTTTACCTCTTTTTCTATCACAGTTTTTGACAGACAGACAATTTCAAGTCCGAGTGGGTACAATCCTGCCTGATCATTACCATCAAGATCAAGGTGTCCCACAAGGCAGTATTTTGTCTGTCACATTGTTTAGTATTATGATCAACAGTGTATCCAAGGTTTTAAATAGTCTAATCGATGGGTCACTTTGGTGGATGTTCTTAATATTTCTTGTCGCGGTAAAAATATGCATACCATAGAAGGACACCTGTAGTTGTGTTTAAACAAAATAAATAAATGGTGTCTTGAAAAAGGCTTTAAATTTTCTTAATCAAAAACAAATTGTATACATTTCTGTCGTAAATATAAACCGCATAAAGATCCCAAACTATCTTTCAATGGCACTCCAATCATAGTTTCGATTCCAATTTAACTTTTCTTTTTCATGACTTGTTGAAAGTCGTTTCTAATTCAAAGTGGGGAGGAGACGAAGCTACCTCCTACACCTATATCGATCATTGGTCCGCTCTAAACTTGATTTTGGATGGTGGAGCCTACAAAACAACCTAAAACTATTTGATTACAGCCGTAAAATATATTTATAAAAAACACCCCAAATATAATCATAATTAATATTTTCAGACTCCCTTTCGTGCCTTCAGGCTGTTAAAAATCTATCATGTAAACATCCACTTTTAATAGAAATTATTGAATTATATAATGGCCAATACGACATCGTCCTCTGTTGCTTACCAAGCCATGTTGGAATTTCTGGTAACCATATGGCCTATTTTGCTGCTAAGGCAGCACTCAACAAATCAGAAACACCACTTCTCATTCCATACTCTGATTAAAAAGCTATCATTAGATCGCACATCCGTGATCTGATGCAAAAGAAATGGGACACCCAAGTAGGTATCAGCAAATTACATCAAATTAAACCCTACATTGGTTACACCTACATGGGTTGTCCTTCTAGGTTTGAAGAGGTCATTATACGAGGATGTCGCATTGGCCATACACGGTTCGAGTTCGAGGAATGTATCCATCAATATCCACATAAAGGAACGATATCATCTGCACCAGACATAGAATCCTGTTCCATGTCATGTGTCTTTTGACAGTCTAATATGCGGAAATGTGATATATCGTTTCAGGTTTTTCATATTGGTGTATAGTCATTGGTCAGCCACACCGGACAACTAATTGCATGATGTCCGGCATTCTTTAAAAAAAGTAATTTAGTTAGCCAATAATGAGTAATCAATCAACGTATTGGCGGTTAATCCTTTGAAGGAAGGATGTTGTTTTTACACAGGCACTTTACGACAGAGTGTATTCAGTATAGATCAGTCAATCCACATACATAAACACTACCTTTTGACAAATCCGCTGTGCAAGATAAAAGTAATTAGTCATCAGCGTGTTATCGGTTGATGCTTTGATCGATGTTTGTTCTTGTAGCTCGGTTGATGATTCCTCTTGCTGCACTTCCATGCGCATAGTACATAAGATGTAAAACATTTCCCACATCGCACCTTACTTTATAATGTTGAGTATTTACTCCAGACACGAGAAATGCCAAATAGGAACCTTTGTCGGGTAATCTGAGTGGTGTTACCACTAATTATACCTGTTATAAACTCATTAACTGACCATAAAGTGAATGATGACAAATAACATGTGTAGGTTTATACCACTAAACACGGGTTACAGCAAGGGAGTAACAATTTTAAATGTAATGTAGTAGTAAATGTTCAGATTTTTCTAGCAATGGCAAAGTGGGGTATTTTAGTTTACGGATTCAAAGAAATCAGATGTGTGTTTTAATATCATAGGTAATAGACATCATATTTTTACATGATTAAATATCTAGGTAAAAAACACATAAATAGGATCAAATTGGATCAGTCACTATACCACCCAGCATTAGAAAATCCAAAAAGCCTACACCACTGCTGGGATACTTTATTACAATCAGACAAGAACTCTCGGGATATTTTCAAATAACGGCATCTGATCGACATCCACCCTTCCTTATGTCCGACTGATTATGTTGAAGAAATTCTGCCAAGGTGGACAGTAGCCCAGTCCCCGTGTCCGTCACGGTCGAGGGAGCAAGTACTGGTCAGCTCGCAGCTTGGTTTCGTAATTAGACTGTTGGCGAGTAACATTAATCGCCCGGATCAGTGCCCCTTTAAATCTATATTTGTGATAATCAATTTGTTTTACTGTCCTTCGCTGACAGGTTTTTAAAGTTTACTTCCACATAGGCGGATCCAGAGGGGGTGCGCCACACGCCCCCACCCCCACCCCACCCTCCTTTTGTCCTGAAAGTTTATTAATCATAGGCGGATCCATTTGGTCTCAGGTAAAAATGAACTGGTGCACCTATCCTATTCTCTAAAGGCTGTATCCGCCCCTGTTTTAGTTACTATATATCTATAACTAGACTGGGTTGAAATACTGTCGATGTGACTTTAAATCATCACTCACTCACTCACTCACTCACTCACTCACTCACTCACTCACTCACTCACTCGCTCACTCACTCACTCACTCCCCCCATCACTCACTCACTCACTCACTCACTCACTCTGTTCAAAATCTATGATATCACGAATATTTATCATAAATTTATGCTTTTCATCGATGGCTGTATGACATAACATGGTCTTCTATGGTCAGCTCGGTCAAAGTTTATTATATTCACGCGGTGGTTCATGACCTGTGTCGCCTTGAAATAAAGCCCCTGTGCAATTACCTTTGTCATCAATTATTACAGAACAATACAGCTCCCACTCAAACAAATAGTAGAGAGCATTGAATAACTTGATGTATCCAACCGCTGATATTGCATATTAGGCACCATTTCAACAGCTTGTGGCCGATGTGTTTGTTTACTTCAGCTGCCAGGTCGGAATTTCTCAGTTAGATTTAATCATCATAATTATCACATAAACGATGTGCTATCGTAATGAAAGATTCATCCTTTTGGGCCAGGAGCAAATCTCTGATCTAACAAAGGCAAATACCTCGGTTTCTGGATATACTATGATGACTGCACCTTTGATCTTGTCTCTTTCAAATTATCGTGAAAGATGTGTATATAGTTTAACTTTGTGTTACAGCTCCACCACTGTGTGACCTCCACACCGCCTCAAAGACCGGGGACCTGTCAAGGGTGAAATTCCTATTGTCACAGGGACAGGGGAACATTGATTGTAATGAATGGATTGGTAGAACACCGGTGATGTGGGCAGCCGGTGGGGGACATACAGAAGTGGTGGAATTACTTGTGGGTAAAGGTGCTAAACTGTCACTGGTCGATAGTTTCGGATTCAACATCCTTCACTCAGCCTGTCATGGAGGAGAGTTAGAGGCGGTGAAGTATGTCCTCTCACAGACCATGTTGGACATCAATGGTAGAGTACAGTGCAGGAGAACAGCTGTGATGCTGGCAGCAGAGAGCGGACATAAAGATGTGGTGGAGTTGCTTGTTGATACAGGAGCTGACGTGTCACTTGTTGATGAAACAGGTGACAACATCCTTCACTGTGCCTGTCGTGGTGGAGATGTGGAGGTGGTGAAGTATATCCTCTCACAGAACATGGTGGACATCGACAGTCTAGGACATGAGAAGAAGACGCCAGTGATGTTAGCAGGACAGTATGGACATAAGGAAGTGGTGGAGGTCCTCGTAAAGCATGGAGCTAATCTATCACTCAGAGATAAAGTCGGTGACAACATCCTTCACCTGGGCTGTTGGAAGGGACACCTGGATGTGGTGAAGTACATCGTCTCACTGCACAGGGTGGACATCGACAGTAGAGGATTTGAAAGAAAGACACCAGTGATGAAAGCAGGAGAGGGGGGACATAAAGAAGTGGTTGAGTTTCTCGTAAAACATGGAGCTGATCTGACTCTCAGAGACAGCGACACTAATGACATCCTTCACTTGATCTCTTACACGGGGGTATCTGCGGATGTTGGGAAATATATTTTATCTCAGCACAAGGTGAAAATAAACCAAAGAGGGTGGAGGAATAGGCCACCAGTGATTGTAGCAGGACAGCGTGGACATAAAGATTTGGTAGAATTATTCGTAAAAAATGGAGCTAAACTATCACTCAAAGATAGCCGCAAAAGAACATTCTTCACTATGCCTCTGAAAACGGACATCTGGCGGTGGTAATGTACATCGTCTCACTGCACAGTGTGGACATCGACAGTGAAGGATTTGAAAACAAGACACCAGTGATGTTAGCAGGACCAAATGGACATAAGGACGTGGTGGAGTTTCTCGTGAATCATGGCGCTGAACTGTCACTCAGAGACAGCGACACTAACAACATCCTTCACCTGACGTCTTACGGAGGATCTGTGGATGTAATGAAATATGTCCTCTCACAGAAAGTGGTGGATGTAAACGGCAGGGGGTGGAAGAGGAGGACACCAGTGATGATTGCAGGAATGAAGGGACGAAAACGGTTGGTGGAACTATTCGTAAAACATGGAGCTAAACTGTCACTCGCAGACAGAGAGGGTAACAACATTCTTATGTTAGCAACTGCATATGTGGAGGTAGTGAAATATATCCTGTCACTGGGTGTTGTGAACATCGACGCCAAGAACAGAAAGGGAGAGTCAGCAGCCATGAAAGCGAGAGCCTGGGGGCATCGAGATGTGCTTGACCTTCTTGTGTCACATGGTGCTCATACATAACAGCTGTCTTATGTGAAGGGTTGCATATTCTCCCCGACATACATGTGATACAGATATATTGACATGTGGGATACATACATGTGATACATACATGTGATTAAGACATATTGACGTGTGGGATGCATACATGTGATGCAGACATATTGGCGCGTGGGATACATACATGTGATGCAGACATATTGACATTTGGGATACATACATGTGATACAGACATATTGACGTGTGGGATACATACATGTGATACAGACATATTGACGTGTGGGATCATACATGTGATACAGACATATGGACGTGTAGGATACATACATGTGATACATACATGTGATTAAGACATATTGACGTGTGGGATACATACATGTGATGCAGACATATTGGCGTGTGGGATACATACATGTGATGCAGACATATTGGCGTGTAGGATACATACATGTGATTAAGACATATTGACGTGTGGGATACATACATGTGATACAGACATATTGGCGTGTAGGATACATACATGTGATACAGACATATTGACGTGTAGGATACATACATGTGATACATACATGTGATTACAGACATATTGACGTGTGGGATACATACATGTGATTAAGACATATTGACGTGTGGGATACATATATGTGATACATACATGTGATTAAGACATATTGGCGTGTAGGATACATACATGTGATTAAGACATATTGACGTATGTGATACATACATGTGATGCAGACATATTGGCGTGTGGGATACATACATGTGATACAGACATATTGACGTGTAGGATACATACATGTACATACAGACATTACATGTGATACATACATTAAGACATATTGACGTGTAGGATACATACATGTGAGGATACAGACATATTGAATTGACGTGTAGGATACATACATGTGATACAGACATATTACACGTGACATATTGACGTGGGATACATACATGTGATACAGACATATTGACGTGTGGGATACATACATGTGATACAGACATATTGACGTGTTGGGATGTGATACATACATGTGATACAGATACATATTGACGTGTGGGATACATACATGTGATACAGACATATATTGACATGTGATACAGACGTGTAGGATACATACATGTGATACAGACATATTGACGTGTGGGATACATACATGTGATACAGACATATTGACGTGTGGGATACATACATGTGATACAGACATATTGACGTGTGGGATACATACATGTGATACAGACATATTGATATGGACGTGATAGGATACATACGTGTGGATACATACATGTGATGATACAGACATATTGACGTGTGGGATACATACATGTGATAGGATACATACAGACATATTGACGTGTGGGATACATACATGTGATACAGACATATTGACGTGTGGGATACATACATGTGATACAGACATATTGACGTGGGATACATACATGGGATACATTGACATGTAGGATACATACAGATACAGACATATTGACGTGTAGGATACATACATGTGATAAGACATATTGACGTGTGGGATACATACATGTGATACAGACATATTGACGTGTGGGATACATACATGTGATACAGACATATTGACGTGTGGGATACATACATGTGATACAGACATATTGACGTGTGGGATACATACATGTGATACAGACATATTGACGTGTGGGATACATACATGTGATACAGATATATTGACGTGTAGGATACATACATGTGATACAGACATATTGACGTGTGGGATACATACATGTGATACAGACATATTGACGTGTGGGATACATGCATGCGATACAGTTATATTGCCATGTAGGATACATACAAGTGATACAGACATATTGACGTGTAGGATACATACATGTGATACAGACATATTGACGTGTGGGATACATACATGTGATACAGATATATTGACGTGTAGGATACATACATGTGATACAGACATATTGACGTGTGGGATACATACATGTGATACAGACATATTGACGTGTGGGATACATGCATGTGATACAGTTATATTGCCATGTAGGATACATACATGTGATACAGATATATTGACGTGAGGGATACATGCATGCGATATCAGTTATATTGCCATGTAGGATACATACATGTGATACAGACATATTGACGTGTGGGATACATACATGTGATACAGACATATTGACGTGTGGGATACATACATGTGATACATACATATTGACGTGTGGGATACATACATGTGATACTGACATATTGACGTTGGGGATACATACATGTGATACAGACATATTGACATGTGGGATACATACAAGTGATGCAGATATATTGACGTGTGGGATACATACATGTGATACTGACATATTGACGTTGGGGATACACATGTGATGTGACGTACATATATATTGATACAGTGTAGGATACATACATGTGATACAGACATATTGACGTGTAGGATACATACATGTGATACAGACATATTGACGTGTAGGATACATACATGTGATACAGACATATTGACGTGTGGGATACATACATGTGATACAGACATATTGACGTGTAGGATACATACATGTGATACAGACATATTGACGTGTAGGATACATACATGTGATACAGACATATTGACGTGTAGGATACATACATGTGATACAGACATATTGACGTGTAGGATACATACATGTGATACAGACATATTGACGTGTGGGATACATACATGTGATATTGACATATTGACGTGTAAGATACATACATGTGATACAGACATATTGACGCGTTGGATACATACATGTGATACAGACATATTGACGTGTAGGATACATACATGTGATACAGACATATTGACGTGTAGGATACATACAAGTGATACAGACATATTGACGTGTAGGGTGCATGTGATACAGACATATAGATGTGTATCGTGAATTAATGAGAATACTTTTGACCATGTCAAGAAAGGACAGTGACGACATTAAGAATATCACAGTCACTGAATTTTTAACTAGCATCAATCTCTAAAATCTAATTTCAATTTAGAACAATGCAACATAAAATCGGGCTATAGATCTCACGCAAATGCAGGTCGATCACCATCTTGGGACCATGCGGACTTACAGTACAATTGCGACATACCATCATGGACCCCAGCCGAATTTACACCATCCCTTCGGTTCCTTTCGAATGTAGAGATATGTAGGCATAATAACTGTAGCAGGGTAACGGGTGGTACTGTTCAAATGAAGATCAACGCCTGCTGGGGTGTGAGCGGTGACTTGCGCCACAAGTTTATTGCTCAAAACATATATTTTGTTTTCACCCTGTAACATAATGATAACAATAATCAATAAAACAGTCATATCACATCTGTACTAGTATAGTAGATTACACATAAAAGTTACAGTTACTGATAATGGTCATATACCTGTCACAATATACTCAATGTGATACCTATAACTTAAACAGCATCAATTAAAGACATAAGTAATAAACAAATGCAGTTCACAAAAAAATATTATATACATTGTACTGAGACATGAAATATATTAGCAGCAAAATATCACAATTATAATCATGACAGAAAATGCATACCTCTCCACACATATATGTGGCAATAATATACATGAAATATAAACACATTAAAAGGATAAAATACCTACCAAATATACGGTAATCAGTTGATAGTGAGCATCGTCTACCTTAGTGAAACAACATGTCCCATCTATAAGGAATAACATACCTTTAAGTATATTATGCTAACCTATTCCAATATCATAATAAAACATATATCACTCTATGTCATGACAATTGTGAAATGATGTTATTGTATAATTATAATAATGGCATAAATAAATATATACGTCTATAAACAAACCTGCATAATTAATATATACCTTACCAGTACAACACCAGCTGTACTGTGACATTCTTACACTTACAAATATATACAATAAACAGTTATTAAAATAACATAGGGTTTCAAGTGACACAGACATTACATGTACCAACAGGTATACAACATGACCGACAAAGATGGCTGCTGAGCAGGCACAGACGCTCATGTGTTGCCTAACTTTATAAATGTTACAATATTACTAAGAAACTTATGATAATCCCGATACAGTAAACCTGAAAATCATGCCTATAAACACACATTATTTGACTTACACTATTGTTAAAACACATCCGTACTTTCACATCACACAATATTATAACCTAAGCAAGAATAATGTTTATAATATAACATACATCCTACATAATATGTTTATAATTAAGTTAACTAACCTTTAACAGAGAGAATTTGTAGACCAAAAGGAGAAATCAGACGTGTGCCAAAATGTCACGTCATATGTTTAAGGTGCCTTTCTCTTGCGGCTGTATGTGGTAGACTAATTAAAATGTGCTGATGTTAGTAAAGAAGAAAACACACCACATTAAACTGACCAATCAGAGATCAAGGAGTAGCTTGCCCTCTGAGTTCAGAACAAAAGAACACTAATACTATACATACTCTAATAAAAACCTAATCCAATAAAACTACCACAACCAAACTGTTTACAGATGACACCGTATTTACACAAACAAACAAATAAAATGTAAAATATGACATTGACACATATTCTACGATAAAAGAAAGTGTTAGATCTAAATATATTATTTTATTTACTGATATATACTTCTATAGCGCCAATATTCAGCTCAGCTCAGCTCCTCAAAGGCGCTGTGTTTTCCCCTCGATCATTGGATGTCAATCTCAAACGGCACATTGTATTATCAAACTCAACTGGGGAGCATACAACTCGCTGGATCACTAGCCTGGCGCCTTACACAGCTCGCCCACCACACCCCTTTCAATGTACCAAGACTTACGTACCCTTCAGGGGGACAATTGTTTTACAATACTTTAACCCCCTTCCAGGATACAGCGACGAAAATCTCAGTTGTTAATTTAAACTACCAATTATAAAAATACCCTTTAATAGATAGTATTTGTTTTCAGAACAGGTACAGAATCATAAGAATATTGAAATGTTTCTCACCTGAAAGAGACAGAACCTCTCTCCTCTCTAGAACCAGGCAGAATGCACGAGAAGTGCAGGTGAGAAAGAAAGTTCAGAGAAGAAGACCAAAAGGCCAATCAAAAGACAGGTAGTATCTGGCAGGTGTCAAATGAATCAGATGCGGGACAGTTATATTAGGTTGTGGAAGTGGCTAAATAGAGAGGGGAAGTCCAGGCGAAGCTGGATAAATCATAGGCTGCTAAGGGTATTGAAGACTGAAGATGTTAGTGGGCTGACATTCAACTGTAGACAAGGACAACATATAATGAAACAGCATGAAATGATGATAATGGATGACAAAGTATATATATGAAATTGACACGGCTGTTTGGGATTATGAGAGGGTGGCACTCAAGTAGTCATAACTCAGTCAGAGGCATTGCTGCCACCCTGCTACATACACACCCTCTTTGGGAAATGTGACACCGTAGCACCCTCACACCCAAACACTTTGATGTACAACAAACTGTCCATCTGTCATCCATTGTGGCTTTGTGCGGGTACGTCCGACTCGCCGTGGGTTGACGATACTGAGCCAGGGATAGGACTAATTGGTGCAGATGGTGTTGGTGTGGATGGTGTAGTTATATCCACCATCCTGCTGCACACAACTGAAATTGGTATTGTTTAACATGTTGGTTTTTGTTTATACTAATACTACATGTACTAATAATATGTAAACCCTGTTTATAAGTCAATAAACTGTAATAAATAACAACCAAACAAATGTGTGATCTTAAGAAACTTTATTTTCTGAATAGATGCGATTATGATGATATGTTATTTTGAACAGCGTCAAACACAATTGGATGACATGCAGTCAGCCAAGTGGCCAAGCCTGGCCACATCAACTAGTGGTCATCAAAGGTTGGTTAGATCAGACGGCCACAGATAAATCGTAGATTGTAAAGAAACAGGTCTACAAGTCACAATGATTGTGCCAGTATTTGTAACAGCGTTAAAAACAACTGGATGACATCTCTCACGACCATCACAGACTGCTTGGGACAGATCACACAGATAAATCGTAGATTGTAAAGGAACAAGCCTACAAGTCACAATGGTTGTCTCGTATATTGGAACAATTGGGTGACGTCTCTCACGACCATCACAGATGGCTTGGGACAGATCACACAGATAAATCGTAGATTGTAAAGGAACAGGCCTACAAGTCACAATGGTTGTCTCGTATATTGGAACAATTGGGTGACGTCTCTCACGACCATCACAGATGGCTTGGGACAGATCACACAGATAAATCGTAGATTGTAAAGGAACAGGCCTACAAGTCACAATGGTTGTCTCGTATATTGGAACAATTGGGTGACATCTCTGACGACCATCACAGATGGCTTGGGACAGATCACACAGATAAATCGTAGATTGTAAAGGAACAGGCCTACAAGTCATAATGATTGTACCCGAATTTGTAACAGCGTGAAACACAACTGGATGTCGCCTCATAAAACCATCATAAGCTACAACTACACCATCATCACAATTATCATATAACCTAGCAGTTTTATGTGCAGCTGTAGTTGAAAAGGTCCAAATAACATTTACATCCTCAATACATGTCCATATGTGCTTTTATTTGTGTATTACTGGATATATACAAGGACATAAACTGGACTAAACAAGACATCCTGTATCAATGTTATCCGGTGGATGTGTGAAGTGAATGTACCCACATCGGTTACGTTTCCCAACCTGAATGAATGAATGCATCCACCATATCAACATTGATTTTTGTGTTCATCAAACCATTACAAATTACAGTTACCTCCCTTCCATCGATTTACATTCGCAAAACATCGGTAATTTCCGTACATCATACGTGGCCAAATTGTTCGAGATAAAAACTTACTAACACAAAGTATGATATGAAAATGTTATTCGCTTGTAAGCAGGTACATTGAAAATATTAGGAGAGAGCTCAGCCAATCAGATAACGACATTTATGTATGAGATAAGATAATGATCTTTGTAGTCCCGCTCATCAAACCACAATACAGGAGATGGATGGGTGTATGCTGGCTGAAGTTAATGGGCTACGCGAGTGAATGAGTTAAAATGTACGACATATCTGTAGTATTTGACTACTGTCGTGACGAGACAAAAATTTATAAACATGCAAATATGTTGAAAATTGTAAAATCACGTCATCGAGGAACAGTAGAATAACTAGATTATCACATGTCTTATAAAACTAGTTCGAGAGCATTACAACACTACCGTCAACAACACAATGTAGACATGGGCTATTGTCGCCAGTTACACACATAGGACAATGGAGAAAGGTCTTCAAAACTGCTCAAACTGCTTTTACGTTTCACGAACGAAGATCGTACCTATCAGACACGTCAAGGATTTTCTTCAATCTCCTCAAAGAAAGTGACAGTCTACCACACGTCTGACCCGTGAAGATCCGGGTTAGAATAGATCTTCAGTAGAAATGACCCAAGCTCGTAAGAGGAGACTCAAGGGGATCGGGTGGTCAGGCTCACTGACTTGGGTGAGGTGTGTCATCGTATCCCAATTGTGTAGATCGATGCTCATATATCAATCACTGGATTGTCTGCTGCAGACTCGAGTATTTAAAAACAACCGTCACATAGCAGGAATACTGATATACAATCAATCAACATTATTGACTATCTATCCTACATAGTAGAGACAAATTCTCTCTTTAAGAAGTACACCTACAACTTGAAGTACACCTTCACGTACTTCAAGGAATAAGGTAGACAGAGGAACTATCCTACACTATCTAGGTCATCTTCTATCTGGTAGAAGAACACCCTTCATACCTTGTTCTGACATAAATATATATCGAAACTATTCTAAACTACTGTGATCACTTCTGGTAGAAGTACATCCTTCACACCTTGTCATAACTTACCCAGAAACTATCCTACACGACTAGAACCACCTTCTATTGGAGAAGTAAACCCTCCGTAATATTTTACTGGCCTGTCCTACACGGCTGGGGTCATATATTGTCTTGACGAAATACATCATCCAGATCTTGACCTGTTGCACAAACACAACTAACCTACACGGATCGGGGTCATATTATGTCTGGACGAAGTACAACAAACACTGTCCTGATTAAACGCGAGTTGGCCCATCCTCGGTCTTGTAGGAGTTCATCCTCCACACCATGTTCCCTGGGATGCTGTCCATGTCAAACCAGGACAACCAGCTGGTGAAGCGAACCCATGTCCCATAGAAATAAGGGGAGTCCTGGTCCAGCTGGGCATCTTCAATAAACAGACTGACCATGTTGATAGCCCAGTCCTCTGTCAGGGTGTCCGGGTGTACAACACTGTACGAGTCGTGATACAACACCGTCTGCAGATCCATCCCTTTGAGCGGGTATGAGAAAGCTGAAGATACGGGTACCTCTACTGTTCCATTGTAAAAGAAGTGTTTAACCTTTTGAGTTTTGCCAACGATCGGATTATCGAAGTAGTGCAGAACTTTTCCCGTGATTGGATCATGATATAGGCCATTGATCTCAACTTCAACCTTGTAAGAATCAACACCAAGGTCCAAAACCTTTATCAGAACATGTCCATCAAAGTTAAACAAATTTACAGATCCGTTTCCTGTAATCTCAGAGTACACGCTGCCATTAAAATATACTCTGAAATGGCCTCGTTTCCGAGCAGCGTCCACAATCTTGGGGTCAAGTGAGTTTCGTTTTGATTTAAGACTTGACTCTATGTCCAACTGAGGGATGATGATATCGGGGTCACCCTTAGCCCGACGAGCGTCAATCGCCTTCTTGAACACATCCCAACTCGTCACCACTTTGTTCCTGAATGTAGTAGGCGCATGCAGGTACTGAGGATAATATTCTTTCACGTACTTCACGAGGTCAGGTGCCACGTCGTCAAACCCGTTGACCAGTTTCCAGAAGGCCTGGTGGTAGTACAACCATCCCGGAGTGTCGCCCATCTCCATCCAAGGCAGGAACTCGCCTCTTCTGAACCAGGAACCCGTCATTTGGATAGAGGATGCGTTTGATGTGGCCAACTCTGTAAGATTCGTGTAGAACTCGAACAGCTCATCCCCCTGGTAGACTGGTCCGGATGAAAATTTGGGATAATCTTTCGGGTCAAGGACATTTGGGAACTGGAGGAAGACGTCCTCGTTGAAGCTGACTCGCTCGGGTGGGATGAGGATGGTTTTTCTGTCGCCGCCATAGTTCTGTGGCGTATCATTGGGGTCGTTAGCAACGTTGAACACCTCATTGGCTGTCTTTGTGAACGGATTCATCCAGACGCTTAATATCTCAGCAGTTTCCAGGTCGCGGTACACAAACACCTCTCTGGACATTGAATTGAATCCTTTCTCCGTTTTAACCTTTCTAGCGATGTTGAACCCTTCGAAATAGAAGATCCTCTGGATTGGATTTCCAGGGAACCGGACGTATACTGTTCCATTTCCGTAGCCAACTGTTTCCGTATTAGGGTCCAAGGAGGCCGATGCCCGAATGAGGCTTATCAGGTTCGTCTTCTCATCAAAGATGTCAAAGGTACTAGTTGTTGAGAGACATCTGGCGTAGATCAAAATGGCCAGGAGAGACTGTTTAGTCATCATTATGACTTGAGATCCCTGCAAAATAGAACGTAGAAAAGTGAAGATATTCTGAAATAAATTAAACTTATTTCTATAATGAATACTTGAAGCGAGTGAGTGAAATGAGGCTTACGCCGCAAACAGCAATCAGCGGCGTCAAACTAAACTCATCTCACTCTTTCACTGATATAACTAATGTGGACTCAAGCTAAAGGCTGAAAGTCATCATCACCCTTGGTTCAAGCCCAGGGCCTAGATGTTCGAATCTCTCTTAGCGCTAAGATAGTCCTAAGTAAATGTTAATGTATGCACTTACGACTATCTTAGAACTAAGAGAGCTTTGGAAACCTAGGCCCTGTGCTTGAAGAGACGTCACTTTTTCGGACAAATGTCACTTCTGAAAAAGAAATCATGATGCATTTCCAACATAATATAATTATGCGTCGAGTTTTTGACACACACACATACCAAAACTGTTCTTCGGCATTACATTTGGGCACATAATTTGAAACTCACCAGAGCTTGAAGAGTTACCACATCTTTTGGATAACTGTCACTTCTGAGAAACTTTCATGGTGTACTTCAAAAATGTAATCTTGCCTCAAGGTTTTGACACACACACATACCAACAGTTGCCCTTTGGCATTGAACTTGGGCACCTGCAAGTACGTGTTGCGTGAGTGAGTGAGTGAGGCTTTACGCCGTTGTCAGCAATACTGTCACCGGCAAACGCTTCATCCACTAGGCTACCCATAATGATGGCGCATCCTGGATTTTTAACATCGGGAGGTGGCATTATAAAAAATGGTGGCTTTTATAGCTTCAGTGCGCGTACTCAGGAAAGATGAGTGAATGGGTTTAGTTTTACTGCGCACTCAGGAATATCCCTGCTATATGGCGGCGGTCTGTAAATAATGGACCAGAAAATCCAGTGATGAACATCATGGGCATCGATCTACGCAGTTGGGATACGATGACATGATTGTGTCAACCATGTCATCGAGCCTGACCACCCGATCCCGTTAGTCGCCTCTTACGACAAGCATGGGTTACTGATCAGTTCTAACTCGGATCTTTACGGGTCCTCGGGAGAAGTGAAGTGTGAGGCAATTTATGCATTTCAAATCACACCAATACCGAGGAATATGTCCTTTTTCAAGTTTGCATTTTATTAAGTACAACTTCTATTTCCTCCTTTCTCTCCCAAATCGTCATAAAAAGTCATTATTGAATACCGCCGTGTTATCAATATTCCAGCTATTCACAACGGTCCGCAACTAGAACAGTTTATCTCGCAAGCTATTTAATGGCAAAGGAACAGGTTTAGGTTTATACCTGGATGACAGTATTGAAAAACAGCATATTTAATGGTACTCCCCAGGGAGTTGAGATTGATAATACGATGTGCCGTTGATATTGACATCCAATGATCGAGGGAAAAAAGTACCAGCGCCTTGAGCATGCACTAGTTGCCTGGATATGTGCGCTATATAAATATCCTATAATAATAATAAAAATAAAAGTATTCTTTGTACAATTCGCTGCTTTATCTCTATTCAATATAAAGCTACGGCATTTTCGAACTAAACTGACGAACAAACAAAGTCCGCATCTGTTTTCGAGGTGAGTGTGTGATATTTTCTCTGTAAAAAGTAAGTAAAGTGTTTTGATTGTGCAAATATTGTATACGTGTTGTTTGTTTCGTACTTCAGTATATCTTTGTCGTAAATCATTCAAACTGCACCATAAAACCAAAGAGAATCAAAGGTTACCTTTAAAATGATCAAGGAGCAGTTATGGCTGTCCGATAGATTGCGCTGCGACTGGCACTGACGCCGTCCACAAAACAGTTGCTCTATCTATAATGATGGATAATGAGCCATGCTGTATAATGTACGTGAAAGATAATATTCAAGCCGAGTCAAGTGTGGAGGCACATTTTGCATGCGTGAATAATCGGAACATAGACACAGTTATCTTTATTTTGTGTTTCTGAACAAATATAAAATATGAATAAATATTAGCATATCTGTTCAAGATCTGCTTGTTGAAAATAATCTTAGTTGGAGCTAAACGAATGCCACGGGTTTTCCGATCTGATAGCTCATCATCGATACGCCAAAATGAACGCACAGCGAAATATATTTCTCTCCTGGAACAATCTGTCAGCTTCAAAATAATTCAAGTGTATAGATATACTGGCAACACATTTCGAAACAAGCTGTGCTGATAGGAGTTCATTTGTGGAATACGATACAATTTTAAGACCATTAACTACGCACTAAATTAAACCTGATGCCAGGGGCCTATTCTAAAATGCCTATTTTGATGCCATAAAGGCCCCTATACTACTCACAGACTTTTTATAGAAAAAAAAATGTTTTTGACTAAAACGTGTATCGGCCGAGCAGTCTGTGTGACTTACTGGTGTGTTCATACCTTTAATCACTGTTACAGGCTGTCGAGTTATCAATGGTTATTGTTCCGTGTGGCGGAAACATATTTTAGAAATGTCCCAAATGATACATTTTAGTGATCTTGGACTTACACCTTTCATCTTGTTATTAACAGTAAAACACAGTATGTGACTGTGTCGAAGTTGTTCAAAGGAACCTACGTTAATCATTCGAGATATTAAAGATTCGACACAACCGAGAAATGCTGACATAAATAGGGACACTCAGAGATTAAACTTTTACATCGAGACAAGGGTAAGTTTGCTTTGTCAAGGGGCGGTGGATTAACCTGGTGGTAAAAGCGTTCACTAGCCACGCCGAAGACCCGGGTTCGATTCCCCACATGAGTACAATGTGTGAAGCCCATATCTGGTGTCCCCCGCTGTGATATTGCTGGAATATTGCTAATCCAAAACGCTTACACAGCTCTCTCCACAAGATCCTTGGAAAATCCAAGGAAGTCTTACTTCCTCATGGCGAGGAAAAGACATTGGCAGAGGATTGCAACACCTTCTTCAATGAGAAGATCACGAAACTACGAGGTGATATTGATTCTTCTTCTGATGACGTTGTATTCGGGGAGCCCATTGGTACCCAGCTCAGTTCATTCCATCCAGTAATAGAATCTGAGGTCAAGAAAATAATGCTTTCGTCAAAACCAACTTCATGTGAGCTTGATCCTATCCCGACAAAATTCCTTTTGAAAATACTGGATATCATTCTGCCAATCATTACCAAGATCATCACCCTAAGTTTATCATTAGGTTGTGTACCATCATGCTTTAAGTGAGCTGTAGTCAAACCACTCATCAGGAAAACCACGCCTGACTCCCAGTGCCTAAAAAACTATCGTCCTGTCTCAAATTTGATGTTCATGTCTAAAGGAAAAAGTAGTCAAACAACAACTCTCGGATCATCTTTCTCAGTATAACTTGACTGATTGTTACCAATCTGCCTACAGGCAGGCTCACAGCACAGAAACTGCTCTAAATTATGTCTTGAACTCTGTCAGATCTGCAGTCGACCATGGTGAATCTGCTTTGCTTGTCCTCCTGGATTTATCTGCGGCTTTCGACACAATTAACCATGAAATTCTTCTTAAGCGTTTGCTGAAAGAATTTGGTTTGACTAATACAGTTCTTGGCTTGCTAAGATCCTACCTTTCAGACAGAACCCAGTCTATCCACATCGGAACATCTTCATCATCCAGTCACACCCTAACCTGTGGAGTTCCCCAGGGATCAGTTCTTGGACCAATTCTTTTCTCCCTGTATACTCAACCGCACGGAAAACTGATGTCTGCTTATCATGTGCCTAATCATTTCTATGCGGACGACAGCCAATTGTTTGACAGTTTTAAGTCCTCAGAACAAAGTCAGCTAGAGTGCAAGTCCAACCTTGAAGCATGCCTCTCCAGCACAAGATCCTGGATGTCTGCTAACAAGCTGAAACTTAACAACTATAAAACAGAAACAATGGTCATCTCCACTATCTCAAGACAACGAAACCTTATCATCAAAGATATTTCCATTTGGCAATCTTCCATTTCTTTTTCTCCACTTGTGAAAAACCTTGGCGTTCTTTTGGACTCAAACCTCAGCATGGACAAGCAAATAAATCATCTAGTAAAGACCTGCCACTACCATCTGAAGAACATCGGCAGCATCCGCAAAGCCCTAACAAAAGAAGCCACTACCACCCTTGTGCGGACACTGATTTTATCCCGCCTGGATTGCTGTAACTGTTTACTATTTGGCATCTCTTCGTCTCAACTCAGAAAATCCAGAACAAAGCTGCACGCATCATCACTCTCACCAGTCCTCGCTGTCACATCTCTCCCATTCTAAACTATCTACACTGGCTCCGTATTCGTGAAAGGATTGATTTCAAGATTCTCTGCCTCACCTATCAGTCTTTCTACAACTCAAGACCTTCCTACCTTCAAGACCTTCTGACACATTACTCTCCAGAAAGAACTCTGCGCTCATCACAACAACTGTTACTTGCTGTCCCGAGCTACAATCTAAAATCGTTTGGCTCAAGAACCTTTTCATATGCAGCAGCTTCTCTCTGGAACTCTCTCCCTATCGAGTTAAAATCATCTCCTTCCCTAAGTACATTCAAAATACGACTAAAGACTCATCTATTTCTCCGCTACAAGTGACTTCCAATCATCCGTACCTGCCAGCTGTATATAGTTTTAACTTGAGCTCAGGAAGCTCTTTGAGCATATCCCTGTGTTGTGGAAAGGCGCTATATAAATGGCCTATTATTATTATATTATTGCTAATAGCGGCGTAAAACAATACTCACTCAGTTATTCGATTTATCAAACTATTCAACTCAACCATTGCCACATCACTTAACACTTACTGCATCACGAAACAGTCTGTTCAGTTTGCCACACTACCCAAATAGAATGAATGAATAACTAATTCACTGACGTTCTTAACCAACGAAAATTGAAATTTGAGATGGTTTAATTGTTGGTTAGAAACTTGGTATTTTAATCAGGAACCAAAAACTGTGACAAGGTGTTTAAATTAGCATTCCCTGAACCGGGTACATATAATTGTTTATCGGTATTTGTGGTATTCCGCAAGGTCAGTGAGTGAGTTTAGTTTTACGCCGCACGAAGCAATATTCCAGCTTTATGGTGGCGGTCTGAATATAATAGAGTCTGGACCAGACAATCCAGTGATCAACAGCATGAGCATCGATATGCAGAACTGGGAACCGATGACATGTGTCAACCAAGTCAGCGAGCCTAACCACCCGATCCCGTTAGTCGCCTCTAACGACAAGCATGGGTAACTGAAGGTCAATTGTAACCTTGATCTTCCAGGTGGTTTTCGCTAGAGCAGGACTTGCGTAGCCTTTTCGCAAACCCCAATCACGGATGTTGTGTGATCTCATTACACAGTTTTCACCGCACTTTGGCTGTCACTTTACATTGAAATCTATTTCGCCAGACAATCAAGGCTGGTTAATTTCTGGCGTTGATGTATATTTAATCACCTACAAACTCGTCTTCAGGGTCACTAATGTCGGTCAGGGTGACCCCGATCATGACCTCCAGAGCGAGTTTTGACACAGGACAACTCTAAACTCTGACCTCCTCCCTGTCAGGTGGTATAATATTAAATAGATTGCAGTCACGCAGGCGTCCTGCCACAAGTCAAGGTAAACTAACGCTCAGTCCCTGAATATATATAATTTTGATAGTAACAAATAAACCCATTTAGATTGAAAAGGAGCCGCTGTGAGTTCGGAGATTCAGGAACCTTGGGAAATCTAGACTTGCTTCATTTACGGCTTGAGCATTGCAGGGAGGGCAAGGCTGTAGGGACAATGACATGGTTCAGGGACTGTGAGACAGACTAAGGTACAGCTGGATGTGATGCCTGTTACCAGTATATACTCTGTAGGAATTGATTTGTTTTTCTTCTGTAAATGACCTAAAATATTACACTTTTTTATAATTTTGGTCAAGGCTGATGTTTTTTGTAATCCTCGTGCTGGAGTAGGTATTTCAACAACATTTGATTTAAACAATATTTTATTTCCATTAATGTGGGAATAGGATTAGCAAACAGGCCATATGGCCTATGTCAATGCTTCTCCGCATATAGTTCGTTATATCTTGACATAATACTATGGAGCAGACATTAGGACATTAATGAATGAATCAAAACCAAATAGAAATAAAGAAAAGAAAATAAAGAACAAGATACCAAGCGCATTTTATGTTTATAGGTTGTTACTTGAATTCCGTAAAGCGGTTAGTTTCAGTTATGTAATTCTGAACGGATTTTATAAGGTTTTCATTGTCTAAAGGAGATGAATCGTCATTGTCGTGAAGTATAGTATATACGCTGAGGTGGTTAAGGACAAAGTATTTGTCAAGTCTAAACTGGGCATAGCGGAGACATGACAGAAAAACAATGGATAGCGTCTTCTCTGTCATGGCCACATGAACAAGTAGGATCATCAATCAGGAATCTGTCCAAAAAGCGTGCTTTTAAATCACTACAACCTAGCCTAATTTGAACAACATTTAATTCTACTGTTACTTCTGTATCTACTACCGTTATCGCAACACCCACTACTCCTACAACTCTTAACGCTACTAGTACCACCACTGACACTACTACAACTGCTGCTTCAACTACTACTACAACTACTTCTACTACTACCAATGCTTCTACTACGACTATTATTATTTTTGGATATTTATATAGCGCACATATCCACGCAACTGGTACATGCTCAAGGCGCTGGTATTTTTTCCCTCGATCATTGGATGTCAATCTCAACGGCACATCTTATTATCAATGTCAGCTCCCTGGGGATCATACAACTCTTGCTGCCACAAGGCGCACCGGGTTATTGCGGCTTTCCCATCCTTACGAGGTACTCATTCACAGCTGGGTGGACTGGGACACATAATCACAGTACTTTGTCCAAGATTACTGCAAGTTGTTGTACCGGCAACTAGGTTTTGGCACGAAGCCATCCGGACATATATTAACGGATTCGTGGGGTCTTTTAAGTGCAAGGGGTTGTGTACTGTACACTAGGTATTCTATTCCAAGGGACGAGAGAACGTGTCAATTATGTACTTCCAGAAGCATGGGAGATGAATAACATTGTATTTTTCATTGCAAAGCACTCGATACTTTGAGGAAACAACATTTACCAATCATCTTACCTATTTTCCCCCAAAACAAACTTTACGAAAATATTATTTGCAAAGACATCTCGAGACATAATAAACTTATCAAAATATATCATGCATCTATCAGCTCTTGTCAGAAAAATGCTAATATATTGTTTTCTTTTGTTTGTTTGCCATCTTGAATTCGAATTTATATTTGTATATATATCTACAATATATGCTGTTGTACCACCAAGGTAGGTTATGATAATACAGAATTGATGAATTGGACAGATAAACGCAATAGTGAGGCCAGAACAAAATAATAGCACCAACATCGATAAAGCAATACTTACAGAAAACAATAATCAAAGCAATAAGTCCCAATATTCATCAATATTCTTGATGAAAGTTTCAAATCGTTTGTGGTAAACTTATTGCAGCGTTTATAGTGAAACGAATTAGACATGTCCTCAGAGTTGCAATGCTTACTGCTATTCCTTTGAGAAGTATATAACGACAGATGCATTTCAGAAATCTTTAATACCGATTACCCGTTGTAATATATGATGTATTTCTTACCGTGGAATCGTACAAGTTGCTTTCAAAGGGCAACATACTGCCATATATATTGGCCTGGCAGCGGTGGTAGTCTTGTAAGCTAAGTTAACATGATGTTAAAAATATCGCCCAGTATCTCACAATATCAGCTAAAACTGTTGCAGTGCTATATTCTAAAACTATAATCGCCAAATATGTATATTAAGCTGAACAATCCTCACAATCCCAAATCATATTGTTCATGTCCGAAAGGATACTGCACATTGAATTGAATTCGTTTGATTGTTAAGGGCTGTCAGGCCATTTGTTTGGATCATAGGTGGCCTGGAATGGAGGTTTCTTCTTTTGATTCTGTTGCCTACTTGATTCATCGTAATCGTCTTCAGTTGGACTATTTTCACTTTGAGTTCCTTTTATGTTATGCCCAGCTGAATACCCATTGTCTTGACCGTTGGCTTGATCGTTGTCTTGACCGTTGGTTTGATCGTTGTCTTGACCTTTGGCTTGACTGATGTCTTGACCGTTGGCTTGACCGATGTCTTGACCGTTGGTTTGATCGTTGTCTTGACCGTTGGCTTGACCGATGCCTTGACCGTTGGCTTGACCTTTGGCTTTGGACGCGCACATCCCCTGGCTTCCAGATCTTCTAAACCAACCGTGCATGTAACTCTTGCCATCGCCACCCTTTTCAACCATGCAAAACAACAAGGGACAGAATTCAGGTTCGTCGATTCGTCCATTGGTCGAAGTCTCTTTAACGCCCACATCCCCGACGACACACGGAACAGTGACGTTGTTGCACCCGTTGTCCGCCATGCAGAGAACGGTGCCTTCCAACATGACATGTGCGTGTTCTTCACGTGTCGACGCGACGTGTCCCACACCTGTCGAGGGTAACTTCGACAATGTCATGACAGTATTTGGTCCATATTCAGATACAAATGCCAATACGACCAGAACACTGAAACAGTACATGATGTGGGGACCCTAGGATGTCATATGATCGTTGCTTGATTGCTGAGACACCAGCTAGACGTAAATGTATATTGCAGCAATGTCATTGGGTATCACGTACAAAAATGAAAGCTAAAAAGTTTCGTACATCTTATTGATTAATTGACAGAAAACAAAACAGTTAAGCTGGTGTTTATATATTTATGGATGTGTCATGTTACATATACAATTTTCGGACACAGAAAATGTCATCCAGTAAGCGTCACGTGACTTCCTTACATGCGCATTTTCCTGTTTTACGCGTCGAAAAGGGGCGGTTTTGTAGCCACGTGGTTAAAGCTTTCACTCGTCACGCTGAACACCCGGCCTCGTTTGGTACAATGTGTGAAGCCCCTTTCTATTCTTGGAGTATTGCTAAAAGCGGCATAAAACTAAACTCACTCACTCAAAAGCCCTTGACGAGTCGACGTCACGGTTGTCACGGAAGTCTATAGCTTATTTCCATGTAGTCATCATTTTACGGTTATGTCGAGAACTCGAAGTATTTCCGAAGGTCCCCTCAACTACGATACAAAGATGTTGACTGTTCGTCATATCTATCTATCTATCTATCTTCCTGCCTGTCTGTCTATCGCAAAACTTCTATAGCGTTATATCCAGAATAAACTGCAAAGCGTTTCAGACTCTGACGGAAAGTTGTTATATGCTTCACAGAAGTAGTGAGTCTTTAGCTGTGACTTGAATGAGTCCAGGTCGTGGTTAGATCTCAGATGTAGTGGGAGTTCCACAAGTTTGGTCTGACAATTGGGAAACAACGGCTGGTGATGCGACTGGGTCTTAGTGCAGGTGGCTGACGGAGAAACTGGTGAAAGGATCGACGAGATCTGACAAGTTGATATCTGGCCCCGATTTCTCGAAACAAACTTGAGTATTTACTCAAATTTGAGAGAATGCAATAAAAACATTTCCCAGAATGAACTTAAATCGATATTCTAGCACGACATTCGTGTGATGCTCGATTCTGATTGGCTGAGAGCTCATCAAAACCGTTTAAACCAGTTTAAGACCGCTAATTAAAGTGACCGATTCACTGCGTATGAATACAATGAACGCGTTGACTATTTTGTTTGTAAACAAACATGTCAGACATCGGCAGTTTCTACCTCGGCAGCATCTTTGATGTTTTTGAAGTAAAAAGCGAATAGTTTGAAGAAAAAATTCTTGACCCTAATCCCAGTGAAGAAACTACGAAGCTGGAAAATTCGTCAGCAGAGCAAAAGCGGCAATATTCAAAACCGGGTCTAGATCTAGCCGGCATGACGTCGACAACACACGTCGGCCCATGACCGCTTCCGTCCAGGCCGTAATGCCCAGTCCTTCCACTTCCATTGTCCTTGTATCCCACATAAAACGTGGCATGTTAGGTCTTTTCCAAATTGGGAATAGTAGGGTGGTTATCAACAATTATTTTCGCGAATAAAGTTAGCGGCGACTAAACTTAGCCTGTTCACGGCTTGAATTGGGGTGAGTCGATTGTAATACAGTAGGGGAGATCAATAATTCGCTTGAGTGAGTGAGTGAGTTTAGTTTTACGCCGCACTCAGCAATATCCAAGCTATATTGCGGCGGTCTGTAAATAATCGAGTATGGATCAGACAATCCAGTGATCAACAGCATGAGCATCGATCTGCGCAATTGGGAACCGATGACATGTGTCAACCAAGTCAGCGAAACTGACCACCCGATCCCGTTAGTCGCCTCTTACGACAAGCATAGTCGCCTTTTATGGCAAGCACATGGGTTGCTGAAGATCTATTCTATCCCGGATCTTCACGGGTCAGTTCGCTTGAGAAAAGTCAAATAATTGTACTTGCTCACAGTATAACCTGTATTTTATATATTTATGTATGCCACTTGTTACAAAATCAAGCCTTAGCGGCCTTTAAATATACGATAAAGGAGCGCAAAATTGAAAACAGAGTAGCTTTATCTTCTAATAAAAAGTCAAACTAAGTCAAACGTAGTCAACAATTTAAGTTTGGTGCGTAGATTACTTAAGTTGTTGGGATTTTTTATTTAAAAAGTGCAGTTGGGTTGAAAATTCCGCTTTTTAAACTTATCAAACTCAGTTTGAAATTTGAGTAAAAACTTAAGTTTGTTTCGAGAAATCGGGGTCTGGTTATCATGCTGGAGGGATACGGGGGGTCTTGAAGACAAGCAGCACAACTTTGTATTTGATCCGCTGTGGCACTTGCAACCAGTGTAGATGTTGGAGAACTGGTGTGATGTGATCTTGTCTCGCTGTTCTTGTTGGGATTCGGGCTGCTGAGTTTTGTACAACTTGTAACTTCCTAATCAGATACGATGGCAAACCTTGCAGGAGTGAGTTACAGTAGTCAATGCGTGAAAACACACAGGCATGGCCCAAGAGATGACGGTTCTTTTGTTCATGTACTTTCGCGCCAATGCAATGTCGGATTCGAATCCAACGTAAAACATTTAAATCAGAAAATTCATCCTTAAATTCATACAAAAATAAGTCATGGTTATATTTCGTGTACCCGGCGCATTGTGTAGTGAGTAGTGACGTTTGCCTGTCGGAATCTGTCAACTACGGGTTCGAATATACAATAACGTTAGTATTACATTCTTGTTTTGTTAAATGGATTACAGCAACAATGTGAAAAGTCGGTAGGGTAGTTAAATGGTTAAAGCGTTCGCTCGCCACGCCAAAGACCAGAATTCGACTCTCACAATGGAATGACAATGTGTGTGGGTGTGTGTGGGTGTGTGTGTTGCGTATTTACCGCGGTCGAAGATAAAGGGATTGAAACGAGCTGTACATCTCTTATTACCTAGTAATGTATATATTAACTTTCCTTTACATAACGTGCTTTTTGTCTGTTTAGTGGAATCGTTTTCATCCTTTTCCCATCTATTTCTGTCGCTGTTTGGCGCGTTTCGTCGTGTTGGTTGTCACATACGAACATTACGGAGCTATATTCAAAGGGACATAACTCTTGTAGGCTTAAACAGTTTTTATTATTTTGAATAATAACACCATTTGTCTTCGGGTCCAGGGCCTAGATTTTCGGTGCTCTCTTAGCGCTAAGATAGTCGCAAGTTAATATAGGACACTTACGACTATCTTAGTGCTAAGAGAGCTTCGAAAATCTAGGCCCAGTCTATTTCCACTTCATAGACAAACTATAGCATGTTCTCCGAACATTTTGCTAAAACTGCATTTTTTTGTGATCATGAAAGTGATAAACCAAATGAATTGGATTTCAATTTCAAAGTTCGCAGACTGTCAAGGCATGACCACTCTACTCGCTGGAATAGGATAAGCTGGATTCAACTTCCCGTGAAACTTGCGATTTGGAAATGCATTTGTTATAAATAATCAAACGTTTTCTAATCTATCTATAGAGTAGAAATGTGTTATGTGCGTGGTGAACAACATTATACATCTAAAACAATAAAGGTTGATGTCAACGGCGCAAGTTTCTCTTGACTGGCTCTTGCATTTTTCTCAAATGAACGTTTGAAGACATGTGTTTGACTTTTCGTGCTGAACATGTATTAGAAAGGTTAAATGTTCCGTTGTAGGTAATTGCAGTGGAAGATGGGATTTATTTCAAGCTTGGAAAAACCGTACAATGGGATTTACTTCCGTAGTTCTAAGGTACAGTGGTTTCGGTTCCTTGAGAAATTAATAGCTTTAAAATATTTTTGGTTTTGATAGTTTGGATGGTACTGAATTATTTCAACGTGTCACTGTGAATCCTGCCATTCATCATTCAATGTGTGAGTGAGTTTAGTTTTACGCTGCTTTTCGCAATATTCCAGTAATATCACGGCGGGGGCACCAGAAATGGTCTTCACACATTGTACCCATGTGGGGAATCGAACCCGGGTCTTCGGCGTGGCGAGTGAACGCTTTAACCTCTAGGCTACCCCACCGTCCCTGTCCATTGTGGAAAATGATACCCACTTCAGAGCCAAACGTGTAAGCACTGTTCATGCAATTTGAATAGCGTTCCAACAAGCACATGTGCATTTTGAAAATATTTGGATGGTAGGGTAGTCTAGTGGTTACAGCGTTTGCTCGTCACGCCAAAGACCTGGGTTCGATGCCCAACATGGGTACGATGTGTGAAGCCCATTTCTGGTGTCCTCCACCGTGATACTGCTGGAATATTGCTAAAAGCGGCGTAAAACCAAACTTACTCAGTACAATATGTTAGCCCACTGGAATATTTTAATATTTCGCAAAAAACATACTCACTTTGTCTTTGAGATAACCTGGTTGTAACTTGTTTACCTCGCATAATAACCCATGCTTGTCGTGAGAGGCGACTAACGGGATCGGGTGGTCAAGCTCGCTGACTTGGTTGACACATGTCATCGGTTTCAAATTGCGCAGGTCGATGCTCATGCTGTTGATCACTGGATTGTCTGATCCAGACTCGATTATTTACAGACCGCCGCCATATAGCTTGGATATTGCTGAGTGCGGCGTAAAACTAAACTCACTCACTCACCTCGCATAAGGATCACTGAGTTTCCGGAAAGAGCCGATGTTTACCTGGATGAGTGGGTAAAGGGAAGTAACCCGGTTCATTATGTCGTTTCCGGTTGTGTTGTTTTAAACCCAAGGCAACTGTAACGGATTTCGATGACTCGCTGAAATTGCCGACAAATATTACGGTCCTGTATAGATAAATGTTGATGAAATATGTTCATTGTCACTCGAATCCTCTGCACATCTGATGAGACGTACCCTTGGTTTGAGCTTGTCGGTGCATAGGTTCGCACACCGGATGCGGAAAGGCGATATAACGGGGTATTTGGTCACTTCTGGGCGGTATAACGAAGAAGTCAGACTACAGATCGCGAGGGGCATGATTTTGTTGGTTGTGCAACGGAATAGGGAATTAATTTATACGAAACAGAGATGCAATACGGATTCAGTGACAGGGAGTAGGATGCAGAGTCAGGAGCACAAGAGCGAGTGAGTGAGTGAGTGGGAGAGTTGTTCTTCACCCATGCTTGTCGCAAGAGAGGCGACTAACGGGATCGGGTGGTCAAGCTCACTGACTCAGTTGTCAAGTGTCATCGTTGCGAAGATCGATGCTCATGATGTTGATCACTGGATTATCTAACATATCTTATATTTGGGATTACACTTTCTTAGTAAAGTACAGATTCTAGTACTTTATATAGTATTTCATAGCTTTCGGAGGGGTACACAAAGTCCGCAGTCTAGACTACCAGTTGTCCGACTTCCATTTTTGTGGAAGCCGCGGTGGCTGAGCGGTCTAGGCGTCTGACTCTGAGGGTGTGGGTTCGAATCCCGGATGGGACTCAACCCAACAAAAGTACTAGAATCTGTACTTTACTAAGAAAGTGTAATCCCAAATATAACATATGTTACATTTGACCACTTTCTAAATTGCATTGTATATTTCACTGGATTATCTGGTCCCGATTTGAATATTTACATACCGCCGCTGGAATATTACTAAGCGCGACGTAAAACTAAAATCACTCACTCACTCTTCATTCCTCTTATCAACGTAAATAACACAAACTAGTCATTTCACGCTACGTTTCCATAAAAGGAAACAATATGATGTTAGTTTCAACTCCACTGCAACGTACGGAGCAGGAAGTTTATTAAAATGTGTCAACTGACATCGGAAACAGAGGCGGATGTCAGTCTGTGTTTGTCAGCAGCGAGACATCAATACGCCATAACGAAATCCTCGTAATGGAATCTTCGTGCATGGAATCTATGGACTCTGCCATCACGTACACTTAAATCCACGTTTGCTGTGATTGAAAACTGATCAAGTGAGTGCGTGTAATTTTAATTATTTCACTGAATGACCTTACCGCCATGTTTGCTGTGATGTACACTAGGCAAAAACTGAGATAATGATTGCCTCCATGTTTAATTACAGTAATAACGAACTGAAAGGAACCACTGATTTGAGTTCGCTATAACCTTAGTTCGTTATACAATTGAAATATATGCAATTCGCTGGGACCCAAAAATACTCCGTGATATCCGTCAGTTCGTTACAACCGTAGTTCGTTACATGCATGAAATATACAACAACAAACTGGGACCCCAAAATACTTCGCTCTTTCCGTTAGTTCGTTACAACCGTAATTCGGTACATGCATGAAACATACAGCAACTAGCCGGGACCCCAAAATACTTCGCTCTATCCGTTACTTCGTTACAGCCGTAGTTCGCTATACGCATGAAATATGCAGCAACTAGCTGGTAACCCAACAAATATACTTCGTTCTATCAGTTAGTTCGTTACAACCGTAATTCGTTACGTGCATGAAATACACAGCAAATAACATTGACCCCCAAATACTTCGTTATATCCGTTAGTTCGTTACAGCCGTAATTCGTTACATGCATGGATATACAGCAAATAGCCGGTACCTATAATACTTCGCTATATCCGTTTGTTCGTTATAACCGTGGTGCGTTATACGCATGAAATATACAACTAGCCGGGACCCCAAAATACTTCGCCCTATCCGTTACTTCGTTACAGCCGTAGTTCGCTATACGCATGAATATGCAGCAACTTGCTGGTACCCCCAACGAATATACTTCGTTCTATCCGTTAGTTCGTTACAACCGTAATTCGTTACATGCATGGATATACAGCAAATAGCCGGGACCTATAATACTTCGTTATATCCGTTTGTTTGTTATAACCGTGGTGTGTAATACGCATGAAATATACAACTAGTCGGGACCCCAAAATACTTCGCCCTATCCGTTAGTTCGTTACAGCCATAATTCGTTACGTGCATGAAATACTAGTATACAGCAACTAGCCTGGACCCCATTGAATATACTTCGCTCTATCAGTTTGTTCGTTATAACCGTGGTTTGTATCATGCATGAAATATACAGCAACCACCCCCTTCCCCCAAATACTTCGCCCTATCCGTTAGTTCGTTATAAGCGTGTTCGTTATAACCATAGTATACTGTATTCCATGTGCTGTGATGAAGGAGCGTTTTTAGCTTCTCTAATTTGGTTCATATCGGGCGCGTAGTGTCTACTTCCGCCTTGGATCTACTTAATAATTGCGTCTCTGTCTGCTGTCCGTGGTTTTAGTCCAAGATTTGCCCCAGTCGTCTCTCGTACGTGTCTTAAAAGTGGTAAACGTCTTTCACATGCACGTCGGTTTTTCCCCACGTCGAATTGTGATTGTTTGTGCATGTTCTCGAACATACACCACTGTTCCAACTGTATTGCAGAGGTCTGTACATAATCATCTCTGGACCAGACAAGTCTGTGATTAACATCACAGGTGTCCATTGACGCTTTTTCCCATTGAGCCTCTCTACCCGATCAACTTGAAATAATGATAACCATCAGTATTCATGTAGGTACCAAGTTGTTCAACCCCTCTCACTTCTTGGTGCCACCCTGGGCGGTGGGGGTAGCCTAGTGGTTAAAGCGTTCGCTCGTCACGCCAAAGACCCGGGTTCGATTCCCAACATGGGTACAATGTGTGAAGCCTATTTCTGGTGTCCCCCGCCGTGATATTGCTGGAATATTGCTAGAAACTAAACTCACTCACTCTCAAAACGTTTAGTTTTACAGATCCCGGGCTACCTTGTCTTCGCCTGATTTCAACGCGCCAGCTTCTCAAGGAGTGCCGTA